ACCATGTCTTAAATCCAATTGTACTCTCAATAATAACTATACAACACGGGATAGCATGCATAGAAGTGGGGCAGTACAGGACTCTGGTAAAGCACATTAGGCTGTGGAGAAAAGTCTGGCTCTGACTACATGATCTTGAGTATGTTATTTCACCTCACTGTGCCCCAGTTTTCTTATTTATAAAATGAGGATGAAAATAGTATCTAAATGAGGGTATATTAGTCTGTTTCTGTTGCTTATAACAGAATACCTGAAACTGGGTAATGAATAAGGAGGTTTATTTCTTACAGTTTGGAGGCCGGGAAGTCCATGGTTCAGGGGGTACATCTGGTGAGGGCCTTCTTCTTGGTGGTGACTTCCTACAGTCTTGTGGTGACCACGGTGTCACATGGCGAGAATGGGCTGAGCAAGGGTGCTAACCTCACTTGCTGTCTTTATTTTTTATTTATTTATTTATTTATTTATTTTTCCTTTTTGTCTTTTTTCGTGTCCGGCAACGGATCGCAACCCTCAGTGTCGCGCCCGTACCGGACCGGGACCGGCAACGGGATCGCAACCCTCAGTGTTGCACCCGCACCTTGCTCAGCTAGTGAGTGGGAACCGGTCTGTATGTGGGATCTGAACCCTCGGCGGGAGCGCCGCCGCGCTCCCAAGCGGCGCACTGTAGCAGTGCATCACCGGGCCGGCCCATATTTAATTCTTTAATTCATTTTGAGTTGACTTTAGTATATGGTGAGAGGTATGGATCTAGTTTCATTCTCCTGCATATTGATATCCAGTTATCCCAGCACCATTTGCTGAAGGTGTAGTCTCTTTCCCAGTGTATAGGCTTAGTACCTTTGTCAAAAATCAGATGGCTGTAGGTATATGGGTTGATTTTTGGGTTCTGTATTCTATTCCATTGATCTGTGTGTCTGTTTTTATGCCAGTACCATACTGTTTTGGTTATTATAGCTTTTTATAGTATAGTTTAAAGTCAGGTAGTGTTATGCCTCCAGCTTTTTTATTTTGCTCAGAATTGCTTTGGCTATGCATGGTCTTTTGTTATTCCATATAAATGTCTGGATAGTTTTTTACATTTCTGAGAAAAATGTCATTGGAATTTTGATGGGGATTACATTGAATTTGTATATCACTTTGGGTAGAATAGACATTTTCACAATGTTGATTCTTCCAATCCAAGAGCATGGGATATCTTTCCATCTTCTTGTGTCCTCTTTAATTTCTCTCAACAGTGGTTTGTAGTTCCCATCATAGAGATTTTTCCCATCCTTGTTTAACTTTATTCCCAAGTATTTTGTTTTTTTGGTGGCTATTGTAAATAGGATAGCTTTCTTGATTTCTTCTTCTGCATGTTCACGATTGGAGTATAGAAATGCTACTGATTTTTGTGTGTTGATTTTGTATCCTGCAACTTTGCTGAAATAATTTATCAACTCTGTTTTTTTGTTTGTTTGTTTGTTTTTAAAGATGACTATTAAGGGGATCTTAACCCTTGGCTTGGTGTTGTCAGCACCACGCTCAGCCACTAAGCGTACTGGCCATCCCTATATAGGATCTGAACCCGTGGCCTTGGTGTTATCAGCACCACACTCTCCCAAGTGAGCCATGGGCTGGCCCACAACTCTTAAGAGTTTTTTTTGTAGAGGCTTTAGGCTTTAGGTTGTTCAATATATAAGATAATGTCATCTGCAAACAAGAACAGTTTGACTTCATCTTTTCCAATCTGGATACCCTTTATTTCCTTCTCTTCTCTGATTGCTCTGGCTAATACTTCCAACACGATGTTGAATAGGAGTGGTGAGAGTGTGCATCCTTGTCTAGTTCCTGTTCTTAAGGGAAAAGCTGAAAACTTTTCCCTGTTTAGGGTGATACTGGCAGTGGGCTTATCATATATGGCTTTAATTATGTTGAGATATTTTCCATCTATACCTAACTTGTAGAGAGTCTTTATCATGAATGAATGTTGAATTTTGTCAAATGCTTTTTCAGCATCTATAGAGATGATCATATGGTGTTTGTGTTTGATTTTGTTGATGTGGTGTATCACATTTATTGATTTCCGTATGTTGAACCAACCTTTCATCCCTGGGATGAGTCCCACTTGATCATGGTGTATAATTTTGCATATGTGTGGCTGTATTCTGTTGGCTAGAATTTTATTGAGGATTTTTGCATCTATATTCATCAAGGATATTGACCTGTAGTTTTCTAGTTTTGATGCATCTTTGTCTGGTTTTGGTATCAGGGTGATGTTTGCCTCACAGAATGAGTTTGGGAGAATGGCCTCAGTTTCAATCTTTTTGAATAGTTTGTAGGGAATTGGTATCAGTTCCTCTTTGAAGTTTCGGTAGAATTCTGCAGTGAACCCATCTGGTCCTGGACTTTTCTTTGTTGGGAGCTTTCTGATAACAGCTTCAATCTCTTTTATTGCTATTGGTCTGTTCAGATTTTCTGCATCTTCTTGGCTCAGTTTTGGTAGTTTGTGAGTCTCCAGAAATTTATCCATTTCCTCCAGATTTTCAAATTTGTTGGCATATAGTTGTTTATAGTAGTCACTAATGATTTCTTGTATTTCTGAGGTATCAGTTGTAATATCACCTTTCTCATTTCTAATTCTTGTTATTAGGGTCTTCTCTCTTCTTTTTTTAGTTAGCCTTGCTAATGGTTTGTAGATTTTATTTATCTTTTCAAAAAACCAACTTTTTGATTCATTGATCTTTTGTATCATTTTTTGGGTTTCTATTTCATTAAGTTCTGCTCTGATCTTAATGATTTCTTTCCATCTGCTAACTTTGAGTTTGGATTGTTCTTGTTTTTCTAGTTCTTTTAGGTGAAGTGTCAGGTTGTTCACTTGCCATCTTTCCATTCTTCTGAAGTAAGCGTTTAATGTGATAAACTTCCCCCTTAGTACTGCTTTTGCAGTATCCCACAGGTTTTGGTATGATGTATCATTGTTTTCATTAGTTTCAGTACATTTTTTGATTTCCTGTTTAATTTCTTCTTGCACCCATATATCATTGAGTAGAATGCTGTTTAATTTCCATGTATTGGTATAGATTCCAGAATTTCGTTTGTTATTGATTTCTACTTTTAATCCATTGTGATCTGAAAAAACACATGGGATAATTCCAGTTTTTTTGAATTTGTTGAGACTCGATTTGTGACCTAACATGTGGTCTGTCCTGGAGAATGTTCCATGTGCTGATAAGAAGAATGAATATTCTGAGGTGTTGGATGGAATGTTCTATAGATGTCTGCCAAGTCCAATTGGTCTAGAGTGTTGTTTAGATCTTGTGTTTCTCTTCTGATTCTTTGCCTAGATGATCTGTCCAATATTGATAGTGGAGTGTTCAGGTCCCCTGCTATTATGGTATTAGTGTCTATCTCATTCTTTAGGTCTAATAGTGTTTGCTTTATCAATCTGGCAGCTCTGATATTGGGTGCATATATATTTATGTTTGTTATGTCTTCTTGATGGATAAATCCTTTTATCATTATATAGTGGCCTTCT